GACCTGGAAGCCCCCACATCCCCGCTTCGAGTGGTTCTGCCCTCTCCTCTGGTTGTCCCACCTTTCCGGACTGAACCAATGTCCATCTTACACACATTGATTGATGTCTCGTGTCTCCCTAAAGTGTATAAAACCAAGCTGTGCCCGACCACCTCGAGCGCACGTCGCCAGGACCTCCTGAGGCTGTGTCACAGGTGCATGTCTTCATCCTTGGCAAAATAAACTTTCTAAATTCACTGAGACCTGTCTCGGATTTTTGGGGTCCACAACATAAGCAATAAAAAGAATTTCAGATGCCGTCGGTGGCATTTGAACCTGAGCAATTCCATCTTGAATAGGGGCTGGATAAAATAAGGCTAAGACCTGTTGGGCTACATTCCCAGGAAGTCTGTCACAGGATGAGATAGGAGGTCAGCACAAGATACAGGTCACAAAGACCTTGCTGATAAAAGAGACCGCAGTAAAGAAGCTGGCCGAAACCCACCAGAGCCAAAATGGCAATGAGTCACCTCAGGTCATCACCACTCCTTTTTTGCTAAGTATAATGTATTAGCATGCTAAAAGACACTCCCACCAGGGTCATCACGGTTTAGATGCCATGGTAACGTAAGGAAGTTATGTTTAGACCTCCATGGTCTGAAAAGGGGAGGAACCCTCAGTTCTGGAATTGCCCCCTCCCCAATTCCTGGAAAGCTCATGCGTAATCTACCCCTTGTTTGGCATATAATTAAGAAATAACCAAGTTATTAGTACTTTCCCAGTGCTAATATTATTCTAAGGGGTAAATCATTCTGCCTCCTCTGTGTAGAGCCTGGCTGGGAAAGTGGTACATGTTCCTTTCAGTTTGGAGCATTTATGAAGAATTCCATCATGAGCCCCTTAGACAGAGGGTAGCTCTGAGATCTTTGGAAAAGGGAGAGCTGGAAGATCTGTCATCTTGAGGCCCCTCTCCCAGATACCTCTGAGGTCAGAACAGAAGCCGGTTTGACCAGTTGGTGACTTTGATGCCATACAACTGCTTTGAAAACAGCTCTTTCTGGGTCTGGGAGTGACAGCTCTTAGGAGTGACAGCTCTTAGGAGCATTCAGCTGACAGCGGTCTCAAGCTTTGTTCCAGGAGCGGGAGGAAGACTGGAGGGGCTGGGGAGGATGTATACAGATGGAGAAGGAGAGATTAACAAGATATTCCTTCTGGGGACTGTCTTAGCTTCACTCCGAATTTGAGTTGGGAGTAGCGTAGCTGCAAACAACAGACAGTCAAAATAACAGTGGCTGAAACAAGAGAGAAATTTATTTCCTCTTAATGTTGAAGTCCAGGGAGATTCTATCTGAGGCTAACATGTGTCCCTCTTCCACCATGTCCTCAGGCTGGAGAGCCCTTCTATCCTAGTGCTTTATCCATATGGGCTCTATTCCCAAAGCTACCTCATGAATCAGAAAGTCACTTGTCCACATTCCAGCCATCATGTCCACATTGCAGCCAGCAAGAAGGAAGGAAGGAAGGAAGGAAGGAAGGAAGGAAGGAAGGAAGGAAGGAAGGAAGGAAGGAAGGAAACGCAAAGACAAATCTCTTTCATAAAAATTTCTGGACACTAAACACTAAGAATTCTGTCTATAGATCAGACATCTTGCAGCTATGGTCACCCCTAGCTGCAAAGGAGGCTGGGAATGCAGTCTTTATTCTGGATGGCTATAATCCCAGTTATGAATTGGGGTTTCCTGTTACTACAGATGAAGGTGGAATGGCTATTGGAAGCCAACTAGAAACACTGCCACATCCAGAAAGAGTGAAGACAGATTTTGCAGAAGCATTCTGAAGGTTTCATTGAATTGAATCCCTTGGAAAACTGGTGGAAATATATACCTCCTCTGCACT